ACTTTTTAAAGGAAACAATATTTATTAGCAAAAAGAGTAGGTCGAAAGACAGCTGAAAGCAAGCGACATCACCTAAGCCATCATTAGACTTATTTTACGTCAGGGAAACATACAATATTTCTAGATATGAATTTTGTTTCACCAAAGTCTGAAAGTAAATTTTTACTAAAAGTCTTGAAAATACACGAGTTCGACACAATTTGACCACCTTACAAAACTTTGGTTTATGAACCGGAATAAAAAAAGAAACAATATACCGTCGAAGTGTTTCGAAAGCTGACAAATGAAAGAAAGGTGGTACACTTACGAAATGGTTAAAAGAGTGATGGAATTAGTTTCGTATCAAAAACAACTAATGCTAAAGCATTTATAAATGATATACATATACTCCTCAATTGAAAAAGAAGGTTACCATCTGTCACCAATGTCGGAAGCTGTGTGATGATATGAGATCTCGCAATGATATGACTGACTTCTTCTTTAGATAGTGATACAAGATGATCACAAACAGAAGTATGGTGGTTGCTGAATATATTAAGAGCAAACCCTAACAATTAGGCAGAGTAAAATTCTAATGACGAAGCAAATGTTTTTTAAATTATTTTTCCTTGGATCTGGGACAACACCAATGCATTATTTGGAGTAAAAACTTTACAGTTGCCCAAATATTTTGAAGGACTCGTTTGATATTTTTCATGAAAAAATTATAGCCCAGTTCCTCATTTTAACTAAGTTGACGATTCTGAGTACAATACTTAATTTTTTGTGGTCGCCTGAGTTTAATTACGGTCAGAAAGGCTTTGCTATTTGTTTGGTTTGATTGTTAGCGAATCTACTATGAGCTGCTTCCCTACGGCCAAATTCTTTAATCGAACCTATCCTTTGCCCAATTTTGGTTAATAGGAGAGGAATCGTGTTCCGTCAGGACAACGGCAGGCCATTTCGAATCAAGTAATTACTGTCTGTTCCTGTCTATGGCGAATGACTTTGCTGGTAAAAAATCGCATCGACGGAGGTTTCTGTAATAGTGACATTATTTAATTACCTCCGAAATGGTAAAAAGTAATCGAAAAATGGAGAGCGAGATTAAATTTTGAGGTATATGCGATCGTCAAGCATGAGGACAATATTAGGCAATAGTTTGTCGGGATGAATCTTCGAATTGGCTTCAAACAAACACGTCGTAATTTTTGTATAAGAAAAAAATGTCTAATAGTAATCTAAGATGTAAGGGTTAAATTAAAAAGTTTAGGATTAGATCAGCGAAAAACAGCACTTGAACGGATTTTAGTAACGAAACGGTTCGTTGATAGTGATAAGATCGCTGCATTTTGAAGAGAGAAAAAAGCTGCCAGAATGTCAGATTAGTATTATTGAATTGATTGTAGCTTATGTCGAAAATTAATATATATTTTTTAGGAAATAAATATATATAACCTACAGAAGACCACTTCTTTGCTATTTGAACGTAATTTTTACCAATTTTATCTAATTTTGACAACACTTTACTTTGATGATATTGATGACAACTGCTAGCTGTAGTCGCCATTTTGTTGCTTCTTGTAAAAATTCGCTTAAAATTTCTATGTGGTTATTACAAGCTGATATAAAAATTGGTGTACCTCTTAGCTCTCGGTGCATAGTTGGTTTCATTTGTTCCTTTTTTATGTATTGTACTTGAAGTGACACATCAACCATCGTTGACAGCTGGTTACCGCCTACATACCCACAGCATACACGAACTCGTTTCGAGTCAACCGCTGTCAACCGTCTTTTTGACATCAAAGCGAAATGCAAATAAATGTGTTGCCATCGAGTGCCACGTTTACATGGGTAGACGCTTGGACTCCTACACTCATTAATCATATTTCTGCGCTGTGTTGGTGTAGTTCGCACTCCCGCGCCTGAAAACACAAATTGTGCATTCATTTGTTCTACTCTGGCAACCCAACGAGTGCAACAGCCAGCAGCGTACGTGTGCTTCTTCAGAAGCTGCCTCTAATTAACTAAACACTGAAGATGTTCGCCAACTTGCGGAGCCCTAGCGAAGATACACTGCACTCGCTCTCGTTATATACTACAATATAATATATATATATATATATATATAGTATAAATATGTCGGCAAGTATATGAAGACACACCTGGGTTGGTTGAGCTTTAACGCTGTTTTGCATAATGACCGTCGTTTTATTTATCAGCCATTGTGTGCCCATTGAGTGCAAGCGTGTGAGTAAGTGTGGGTGTGTCGATGTGTTTGCAGCCTTATGAAATGCAAAATTAATTGTTCTCATTTATGCGCATTTGAATTTGCATTTTTTAGTTGCACTCAAAGGCAACAACACACAACAGTCTTTCGCATGCACTTTTATTTCGAAGTTAAATAAGAAAATGGAGGCCCAAAGGACTGACGTGAAGACATATACATATTATATAAATATGTTTACATATATGAAAGGGTTTTTTGGTTGGGACTGGCCGCTATTAATTGCCAATACATATAGGGCACAACTCGGCTCTTCTACACTGACTTGTTAAATCCTAGAATAGAGCTCACAACTAACTAAGACCCGAACGTCGTAAGAACGATTTAATCAAGCTTGCAGATTTCATATCGTTGTTGCAAGGCTAAACGTCTTTTGCATAATTCACGTAAATGTTATCGTCAGGTGGTAGACGTGAACATGAATTCTTCAAAAATGAATATTTTTTAAGAGATTCCAATGGGCCATATCATACTTGTATATTTATAATATAAAAAAATAAGATATGGTTTCAAATTAAATATGCTTAAGAAGAGCCCTTAAGAGAACTTTTTTAAGAAAATACTGTCTGAATCTGATTGCATTTGCGCTTTAAAAGAATTCGTATTTTAATCTAACAGCCGACGGAAGGCGTCTTAAGGCACATTGTACTTATCACTACATATAAATATGGTGACTAGTAGGGAGGCATTAATACATTTGTCTATAAAAGTAACAGAGACAAATTTCGATTTTTGTAGACTCCATTATGTTAAAACTAGTCTCGAAAGACATTTAGGTACAGTAACAGGGACATTATGACTGACAATCTGTAAATGAATAATTTAAAGTATGGTTGTCTGCTAGCAAAGTGTATCATGTGATTCGATCTAACTTACCGACTCTAATTGAAACAAACTTTACTTTTGGTTTTATAAATAGAAACTTAAAAGGCATATACGTGTATGTATGTACATATATGTGAGTCACACAAAGTCGGAGAAACATTTCTCTTTTGAATCAGTGGGAAGTATGTATATACGTCTTATTGTATTTTTGTTAACAAAAATGGCCAAGTGGCAAGCTTTGGTTTTAGCGAAAGCGCGCAGAAAGCAGATTTCCAAGGCAGTTGCATTGAAGCTATAATACCCTTCACAGAACTTGATTCCGATCTTTCAGTTAATATGGCAGCAATATGATATAGTCATCCGATCTATAATATTTCTACGGAGATTACATTGTTGCCATAGAAAATAACTTATGCCAATTTGTGAAGATACCTCGACAAATAAAAGATTACTTGATTCCGATTGTTCAGTTTGTATGGCAGCTATATGCTATAATAGTCCGATATCGGCTATTCCGACAAATGAGCAGCTTCTTAGTGAGAAAAGGAGGGGTGCAAAATTTCCGATCGATAGCTTAAAAACTAAAGGATATATTTTATAGGGTCTCCGACGTTTCCTTCTGGGTGTTACAAACTTCGTGGCACACTTAATATACCCTGTTCAGGATATAAAAATGCATTCAACACATTAAATGCGCTCTGGTTCTTGGCAAGCTTTGCCTTTAAAATGCGTGCACTCATTGTGACAATGCTTTTTCTATATGTAAATAGATAATTATTCATATATAAATATATGCGCTTGTACATATTAATGTCGAATTAAGCGACTGCCAATGAAAGCGTAATTTACAGACAGCCTTGTCTGAAGTGGACAAATGCAAAATTAAGTAGACACTTCAAATATTAATATTTTTCGTAGTTAAAACATATCACTTTAGATGATAAGAGTATATAAAGGCGTTCTATGTGGTTCTGCAACGATGTTCTGAATTTTTGTTATTCATAAACAAGCCTTTGGATCTGTGGTAATATTATGCTTAACCTTAAATTTTCTTTAGTCGTATTAATTGGATCTCTATATATTGTATTTTTAAAATGTTTTCCACGTGATATAAAAAATTTAGTTTAGAATGACGAAGATGTCATTATAAGACCTATATTGCCGTCTTGCCCCAGTCTTTAATCGTATTTCAGAAGTAGTCATATTCACAACGGACGAGTATAATAGAAGCGATACAGATATGTTAAAAAGAAATTGCTTACGAAACATCTCACCTGCTACCATCAAGGGTCCCAGCAAGTTTGTTGCTGCTGCCGAAAAGAAGGAGGAGGGTGGAGGAGTCGGAGTCAGAAGCAGACGCTGATGTGAATTTCGGACTCTTCGACTAAATAGCTCAACACCAAAGTATTGGAAATAATTTTAGCAAGAATGAAGATAATCGCTCCTACTGAGAGCTAATTTGAAGTTAAAGACAAGTATCACCATAATACCTACATCGACAATAGCAACTATTTTTTTGGGAGGTTTAGTGATTATTTTTTGATTTGGTCGCATCCAGATGGCCCATTAGTACAAAAAATTTGGTAACAGCTTATATAGAAGAAAAAATTATACCAGAACCACAGCTATTCTTTATTGTGATATATATATATTTTCAGCTGTTCGTTGAATTGCAGTGAATAAGTCGAGCGTTAGAAAAGTTATCAATACTAAATTTAATCACATTACCATATTTCTACTTGTGATCAATCAACCACCGACTTTTTCAGCAACAGGACAGTGGTTTTAAAAAAGCTGTGGCAGTTTAGAAACCTTATACGAGAGAAGTAGTAAGCAAAATCAACGACTTATACACATTATATATATTTTTTAATTTTTTAAATTTTATTTTTATATTATATTTTCAATCCAAACACATTCAATTCATCATACTAGTTCGCTTAAATATACATATATATTTCGATATGTATATTGACTAAAAATCAAATCGATGATGTCTTTAATGCTGTATAATATTTTTTTCTTAGCATTCAAATTTTTATTTATTATTTACTTATTGTTATATATCTCAATTACGTGTAACTATGAATATAAATTACAATTTCACTAATACTACTACACCTAAAATTGAACTGTTTGTGGGCGCAAAAGGTTGTGTATATGTGTGTATGTATGTAGAGGTGGAATTTCACATTGAAATACTTATAACTAAACACATACATACAATTGTATATATGTATATATATTTATTTCACACATATACATATATACAAAGAAACCACTAACAATATATTTTCATCCATTTTATTAAAGAACATTTATGGCGCAACATCGGTATTTACAAGAACATTCTTATTTACAAATTGGGTTAATCACATATAACCGCTTTTATCTACAATGTGAATACCCCTAAAATATATTTTTATTCTAAAAAAGTTGAGAATGCAACATATATCCCAATAGCCGAGCGCCTTTTCACTAAACACGCTCAAAAAAATCACGGTAAATCACTGGAGAGCTGTGTGGCAAGGTGCTGGAGGGTGCAATGTAGGGAAACGTACCGTTAAAGCTGAGAAAATATTTCGAATATTTAATTTTTTCAACGCTTCACGAATTTTTAACGCATTTTTATTGCACACTTTGACTAATCACTTCATCACTTTTGGTAAAAAAGGGCCGCTTTCCGCAACCATGAAACCATTTTGTTGAAACCAGCAGTATGGAGGCGCGCGGCAGTGCCAGCGCTTTAGAGTAGACCATTTAGCGCCTCGACAGCAGTACCCAATGTCGTACGTTGCATTGCGAACTGTTCCGTCAGCTGTTCCACAGCTGGGTGGGTAAGTAGCTGCACCGGCGGCTCATCTTCATCTACAGCGTCCACCAGAAGTTCATCATCCAGAACGAGTTCGATGGGTGTTGAAGACGGTGCTGTAATCAAATTCGAGCTGGCTGTCGATGACGCTGTCGCCGTCGCTGTTGCCGATGCCGATGCCGTCGCTGCTGCAGCGGCCGCCACGAACTGCAGTCAGTCGATGAGTATGCTCTTCGAGGAAGCGGTCAGTGTGCTGGCGGCATGTTGTGTTGTTGTTGTGGCCAAACTGTCCGCATAATAGCGCTGTCAAAACACTTTCGCTATGAAGGGCACCTGATCCATGGCGGAGACAGCAGCAGCCGTTGAGAGACGCTGATGATGGTGATGTATTGAATTTTGGTTGTGGTTGTGCTGGTGATGATGTTGGCTGTGCTGATGCGCCTGCTGTTGTTGGTGTTGGTGAGCCGATAACATTTGTGCGGCACTGGTGGAGGCGCTCGTAGAAGCTGCGCTCGCTAGTTGAATGAAAGCGGAGCTTGTGGAGTATTCAGCGGTCGCACGAAAGCTACTGCTACCCACCTGCGGCAAAAGGTGATGCGGTGCATAGGCGCTGGTGGCCGTTGTTGCATTTAAAGCTGGTGACTGGTGCGCGTTGGTCAGTGTTTGGTACTGCGGCGTATGCCAAGCGGAGTTGCTGCCATCACCGCCACCACCACTAGAGAGCGGTGGTGTAGTGACATTGATCGGTGGCGATAAGCTGCCGGCAGAGGAGTCGGGTGTCAGCTGGCTGCCATGTTGTAAGTGTGCGTGATAGCCGAGATGCGCTTCGCGGCGCGTATACTCACGACGCGTGTACTCGCGTCGGCGTTCATAGCTTGGTGGCGAATCGTCGTCGAGCAGATCGCTGCCGCCCAACTCATGCAACTTGCGCATATGTTTTTTCAGATCGAAGTTGCGACAGAAACCTTTGGCGCACACCTTACACGTGTACGGTTTTTTGTCGTTGTGTGTGTGCATGTGAAAGGTGAGGTTGTAAATTTGATGGAAAGCCTTGTTGCAGATATTGCATTTGTATGCCTTCTCGCCGCTATGCGTCAGCTTGTGATTCTTGTAGTTGCCTTTCTGGTGGAAGCCTTTGCCGCAATATTCGCACACGAATGGCTTGTAACCGGCATGAATGCGTGTGTGCGTGTTTAGCGTAGAGGAGCGATTAAAGGCCTTGCCACAGGTCTGACACTTGTGCGGCTTTTCGGAGGTGTGTATGATTTTATGCCGACAAAGCGTTGAAGCCTGTCGAAAACCTTTACCGCATACTTTGCAAACAAATGGACGCGCGCCAGTATGCACCGGCATGTGACGCGTAAGATTGTAATGCGCATTGAAGACCTTGCCACATTCCAAGCATGAGAACGTCTTTTGCTTCCCCGATGTAGAGCTAGGGCTGTCATCCAATGAGTTTGGTGACGGCGAACGTAGATGACGTGAGGCGGGTGATGAAGCGCGCGAGGAATTGTGCTCATGAATTGACGTAGCTGATTGCGTGGCGGCGGTGGTAGCAACAGCGCTCGCGTTATGCTTGCGTTTCATACTGTGATATGCGCTAGCAACGCTTTCGCGCATTTTATGCTGCTGTTGTTGTTGCTGCTGCTGTTTTTCTAATGTCTGTTGCAACTGTGGATGCGCGCTGGCAAGCGCTTGATGGTGTGCATGATGCGCCTGAGCTTGCGCGGCAGCTGCTGCTGCTGCAGCGGCGGCTAAATGATGTCCAGAAGCGCTAAGATTGCGCCGCAGTGATTGCGTATGGAAATTGTTTAGCGACGCGGTAAAACTGCTCAAATGCGCGGCAGCACCTGGGTTACCAAGTAAAGTCTGCTGTTGAGCGGCAGTGAGTGCTGCATATTGCGCTGCAGCGGCGGCACACATCAACTGATTGGGCGCATAATACAGAAGGGGATATTGTGACATTAATTCCTGATGGCGCGTATTAACAAACTGTTGCACGGCGGCGACATTGTTCACAGTATTGGCGGCTACGGCCGCAGCAGCAGCGACGGCGGTAGTGGAGGAAGATGGCACATACTTTTTAAAAGCGGAATCATAGTTTTCGGCATTAGCGCATTGTTGGCTGCTAGCGCTTGGTAATTGTAATTCTGCGCGTTCTGACTCACACTCATCGCTGGCGACCTCAATGGGACTGCATGAGCGTTCGGAATCGTCGGGCGCGTTAATACATTCGCTGCTGGCGCGTTGATCGGGCTCCATAATTTTCGCAATGGAAAATTTGAGCGGACAGGCGCGTGCATTGGGCAGATTCGTGCTGGTGGTTGTTGTATTCGTGATATTGTTGCTGCTAACTGGCGTTGCGGCGCGCTGTTGTTCCGCGCCTTGTTCCTTATCGGCGCTGCTGTCACTGAGGCGTGCATTTGCTTGCTGTCCGGCGGCCGTTTCCATGGTGGGACTTTTCGATGGCGGCATCACTGCAATAACGCCCGATGGACTACACGGTTGCATGCCACGCGGACTCTGCAAAGAGAAAAAGAGGTGAAGAGGGTTTAGTTTTTGTGTGCTAGGACGCAACGGGTTAGCAATTAATAAAAGCATACGTTAATACTAAAGCGCGCGCTAGCGGCGCTTAAACAATAAAATCAATTTGGTGGAAATTATTTTAAATTTAATTTTTATTATCCGCAATATATTTAATATTGCATATGTGCTTGTCTGTTTCTCTTTTTTTCTTCATAATTGCGGCATGATTGGCGACGCGCCGCTGTGCTGCCGCCGTGACTGTTGCCTCAATATAAATGCACTCAAGCATGACAAATTCGATGCAAAACAAGCGCGGCAGCGCGCCCAACATATGCCACGCCCCCTATAAATGTTTTAATATTAAAATATATTGTTCTTGTTGTTGCGCTGTGTGTTTTTCCTTTCAGTTTGTGCAATGCTTAACCACAGCATCATTTACGTTTTCAATTTTCCCGCCGGCAGGATATCAAAACTACACCGCTAGGGGTCTCTGACCGCCGCGCACGTTTTTAACGCATTTTCGAAATAAATATTTGAGAAAAACTGGGTGAAACAAACAAAGTCAAGCACATTTGCATACAACAAAGTCAAACAAAAACGACACGAATTCACTTTCGCACTTCGCCGCCCATCAATCGCTGTCGAACCCTTTTAGCGCGATTGCCCGGCTATTGATGCCAGCTATGTACTAGTACAATATATAGCTAAACACTGGCACTGATCTTTGTATTAACTGTACGCTTATGCGCGCTTGACGCTTGAGTGCATCCTGACAATTAGTCCTGGCGATTGATTTGACTTGCTCCGCGCTGCTGCCACAAATCAAACAAAGTATACATAAAACCCAATTTGGCTTTCAAAGCTTTTTTTCTTGCGATTTACATACAACACTTTTGTTGTTATTTGTTGGTAGGGAACTTATTTACTTTACGCGCATATTGGCAGCAGACCTCAGTTATTATCGAGCATATGGCCTGAGCGCACTGGGATGCATTATAAATTGCTTGCAAGCGTTTAGTCTTACCACTTATCCTATTTGTATGCAGGCTGAATGCTTTTATAACGGTAAATTTTTTAAATTAATTTCAGATACAATTTTTTAGTAATAACGGTAAAATTCTAAATGTTTGTCATATTTTTTTAATTTTATTTTTTTACAATCATACCTTCTTATGATATAGCGGTACCTTTTCAAAACTAGTAATATTACATCACTTATGCCAGTGATCACTAATTTTGTGTCAAAGAGTGAATTCACACGTAGAACCTTCAATCTCTGAAATCTGCTGAATTCCCCATTGGAAGAATAACATAAATTCAGTGCTAAATCATACTAGAGGTTAGCATGGAACTAAATATCTTGATTTGATTTATATCAAATTCAACATTGAGTTGTATGCCCGCATTATCTTCAAAAAAGATAGCACACTTGACTATCCAACTACTTTAAGAACCAAAACCCTCTCTTTCTCCCAGCCAAGAACTGCTTGTGTTACAAAAACATTTTTGCAAAATATTAAAAAGTGCAACTTTATATAAAATTGTGTGAGAACTGTATTCAGAATTTTGAAAAATTTATTTTATTTTATTGGAATTTTATTGAAATCTTATCGAATCCTCATAAATCTTTTCTATTTTAGAAACAGTTTCACGATTTCGCACAAATCTTAAAGCGTCCTTACTTGGCTGCTTTTTCTTACTTTTATTGTGAATATAGCGAATATTTATAATTGTTGTTGTAATTTGGTATAAGTGCCGCTACTATTCAAGCCAATCCTTTCGAGTTTTTTATTTCACTCTTTCTCAGGCTTGTGCTGTTTGCCCCATAACACTCGCGTCAAAACAATGTAAGTTGCCATCACACAAGCATTTTGTATGCATATTATTATTATAAATTTAATATTTATATTTCTTTTCCCCCTTCAATGGCATCACTTTATTTGAATGCACGCTCTGCCTGGTTCCAATCTTCACACTTCACTGCAAGTGTTGAAGTTCACTTCCTTCTTTTTCCACTTGAGTCGCCAAATTTTGTTGTTGTGCATTGAAAACTTTGCTAAAGAGCCGCTACACAGCACAAACTAACATATATGTACGTACATATGTATGTGTGTTTGCATGTATTTTGTATGGCCGCCAATTGTAATGTGTAACATCCGTTGCGGCTGCGGTGGCTTACAGTTGACTTAACAAGCTTTACTTCCTATTAGCAATATGCTTGAAGTTTAAGCACATACAAACGAAATACATACATGTATATGTGTACACATGTGCATATGTATTGGTGTGCGTGTGTGCGCCACCATCTTTGCGAGGCTCGTTTTAATTAACTCGATTTCTCACTTGAGTGGGTCAATTTCTTTCAGCAATTCGACTCAAGTTAAGTCAAGGCGGCGCACACACGTACATACATATATGTAACTGTAATTCACAAACGAGTGCATGCGTGTTCTATTGCGTTGCTTATATGTGTTAATATTTATACGCCTTTAACACCATTTTAAATTGATTAATTGTCTAAATTGGCAGGCGCTGAAAATTGGTACTCAAAGTAATTTATGATTTTCATAAATTTCGAAAACTTAACGGTTATGCTTGGGCATAAATACTCGTATGTATGTAAATTGATTAGCTGTAAATTGCTTGCAATTTAGTTGTAGTGCAACTATTTATATTCATTTATGTATTTTATAGGTATTTGAAAATAAGCACACAATTTTTCAAAATCAAAATATCGCCAGGGTTGCTTTTAAAATTCAGATAAAAATTAAAATTTTACTCACAAAAAAAAAATAAGTAAATGAAGGAGTGTACGAAACTACAGACATAATTTAGAATATAAATCGCTGTAATTTTGATTTCACTATAAGTACCGTTAGATTTATTTTTTTCTACACATTTATTTTACTTATAAAATTCTGATAACGGCCACTACAAACCTTAATGAAATCGGAATTTTAAATTTATTTTATTTTTTCATACCACTTCGGAAAATTTTTTACCTAACAACAGAAAACGAATAAGCTTAAGTATGGATGCATGTAAATAAATTTTGATTGTTCCGACGGCAGTAGGTGACACTATCTCGACGTGACCTCTTTAAGGCTAACTAAGAACTTATTAAAAATTATTGAATACAACAACAAAAAAAAGCAATCACTGCGATAACGTAAGCGCAAAACTAATTTTGTAAATTTTAAAGGTGGCTCTATCAATATCTTGTATAAACCTACTAATAAATACAGTATGTTATAATACAGCGAGACAAGCTAAAATCTTAAATAGCTATCTAAGTAGTTCTATCGAAATTTTCTACAATGCTTTTGTACAACAGAGAATGCGAAAACACCTTAAAATATATTAATTAAGAAATTTCATAAATTTGTCGGTTCTAAATGAATTGTTGAGCGACATACTTGAAAAAGTATAAAAATTTGCAAACCACTTGAGAAAACACTATTATTGCAACAATATGCTTGTGCGTTTCTAGCGTCGGCATACTTGCGCTTTAAATTATATACACTTTTAAATCTTACATCTTGAAGATAAGCGAACTGGAAACTGTTTTTTCTTTCACGTTCGCCATAAATAAAAAATAGTAATAATATTAGATAACGGCAACTATAGAGAGAACTATTCTGATTAGATGGTTAGAGGTTCACACTAAAACTACTGGAACCCAACCAATATAAAAAACAAACATTTCCAAAACTAAAAGTTTTTATTGGACATGGCAAATTTTCAAATAATATGCAGCAGTCACTTAAAATTAATAAGTCTTCAGAGTCCATAGAAATAATTTATAGAAATTTGAAGCAAAAAAGCATTAATTGAGGTTATTGGTTTTTTTACGCTATTTACTTAAATATTTCAAGTGTTCGAATTGAAGTTGAAGTTTTAGGAGAAAAAGTCGAAACTTTTATATATATATTTTTCAAAGCCAATCAGTCCGATAATTTGAAATGTTGTAACTATTGTATTTTAAAACTGAGAAATATGGCGTGTACTGGCTGCATAAGTCAACAACAAGTACTCTACTTGGCACAATAATTGAAAATTCTTGTTGAAGCCATGCTGCCTCAAACACTAACAGTTTAAATTCTAAAAAGCATATAAAATAAGTTTTCGAAAGTTGGTCCACATACCGAAGGCAATATGAAAACACCGAATACTTTACTCACATATAAAAACGACTAAAAAAATCGATAGCATCGAAAGATGTTTCTAGGATTTCAAAATGTATTTCTTTATATACATACATAGTATGTATATAGATTTTCTAAAAATCCAAAATAAAAATTTAATCCACAAAAAATTAACTTTTTCTAACAATTCTAAAATTTATTTGAGAATATATTTAAATTTTCAAAATTTTTTATGCATAAAAAAAGTAAAAAATACGTACAAAATAAACCATATTTAGCGGCTGCCTTATTGTAATTGCTGCCTGTTGTTGGCAAACACTTAAAACTTTTTGCAAATTTGGCAGGAAATAGTTTTTTTTATTTTTATTAAATATAATTTAAACTTCTTCGAAATTTCAGTTTTTTTGTTGCTTTAATTTAAAGCTTTGCTGCGCTTTATCACTTTCTCACTGTGTAAATGAACTTGTCTCACTACACACACTTCAAGTTTCTTTTGTAATATTTTTTTAACAAAAAGCACGCAAATAATTTTCCAGTGTCCTTTTTTACGCTCTTTCAAAACGTGACGAACAAAATTGCACGAATGGCGCAACACTCAGTTGAACAAAAAGACGTAAAGCGATGAACGCGTAAAATGGAACGTCATCACTCAGCCGACGACCGTAACGAAATGAAGCGAAACGGGCAAGTGTGTCCTTAGAAAAATGCCAAAAGGAGCGTGCGACGACAAGAGGGTAATAATGTCTATGCGCTGTGGTGGCGAGATGGTGCTGCTGGTGGTTGATGGCAATTGGTATACAAAAACAAACAAGACACAACAACAACAGCGATATTGAAGTGAGTAAACAACAA